ACAAACAAACAAACAAACAAACAAAAGAATAGATTCTGGGGCTAGGAGATAACTCAGCAGTCCAAGCACCTGCCTGGCAAGCACAATGACCTGGGTTTGATTCCTGGTACCCCGCTGAGTGACAGCCCCCAAACCAGGTATGTTTGCACGGGCCTGTAATCCCAGTGCTGGCAAGGCTGAGACGAGGATCACGACAAGTCCAAGCCTTGTAGTGAGACCCTGTACCAAATACATAGATGAGAGAGAGAGAGACAGAGAGACAGAGAGACAGAGAGACAGAGAGAGAGAGAACAGATTCTAGACTTGGCTCTTTCCCCACTCTGCCTTTCAGTTCTGATGTTCATACTCTCGTTATATGCGTTCTTAATTTCTTGAAAAATTGCTTGTTCTCACCTAAAGACTCCAAGTGATCATGCAGACAAAACCAATGACAAATGTGCTAGGTTCCCTTCCCGGATCTACCAGATCAACCTGGTAGAAAGTGCTTTTTTTTTGGCCGAATCAGGGATTGAACTCAGGCCCTTGCACTTGCCAGGTAAGCGCTTATTCTCCTGAGCCATCTCCTGGCCCCAGAAAGCGCGTCTTAAATGACACCTCAGCTGGACTCTCTCTCTCCTAGGCAAGCCATCCTCCAAATGAGATGGCCTTAGACGGTTTGAGCGCAACACAAGGGGGTGCCGATGCTAGTACGCAAGTCAACTGCTGGGTGCATGCTCCTGATCCTTCTGCTGATATCTTGGCGGCTCTTCAAGATATTAGATGAGAGGTTAATGCCATGTCGGATTCTCAATCTCCCTGGACCCTTCTCTTGCCATCTCTGTGGAAAAGCTATTACTTGCTCTTCCTGGTAGAAATATTATTGATTATATCCATAACAGTTTTGTTGATCTTATTGGGTCTTTGTGTGTGTGTGTGTGTGTGTGTGTGTGTGTGTGTGGCCAGCTCAGCCCACCAGGGGGCGGGACTGGCTGGCATGTGGTGCTGGGGGATTGAACCGTGGTCCCTGTGCTTTTGCTAAGCTTGTACTAAGTAGGTGCTTTGGACCACTGAGCCATCTCACCAGCCCTTATTGGGTCTTTTAAAAAAAAATTATGTATTTTGTACAGGGTCTCGCTATGCAGCTTGAACTCATAGTGATCCTCCTGTTTTCAGCCTCCTCAGTGTTGGGATTACAGAAGTGTGCCACCACACCTGGACTTGGTGGCTGGCTCAGTGTGCCCTGGGAGAAGGTCCAGTACGGCAGGCTGGGGTTGAACCCTGGCAGCTGAGCTCTGCCTATGCAGGTACTCTAGTATGCTGAACTATCTGCCCCTCAAGGGTGTTTTAGATAGACGCTCTGGAGAGGATCTCTAGCTGCCAACCCTAGCTATGCCCTCCTTCATCCTGAGGAAACCAGAATGGTTATCACCCTTTCCCCCCTCACAGTGGTTAGGGAATCCTCTTCAGAGGGGGAACGTTACAGACAGCTAAGGCAGGCAGAGATGTTACAGGCAGTCACGTAGGGATAGACCCTGGGGAGAATCAGGGAAAGGTGAAACACATCGCAACTGTGGCTGGAGGCTAGCTTCAAGCTAAAGACAAGAGGATCAGGCTTGCGTACCTGCTCAAAGGGCAAATACCAGGCCTGAGGATTCCTAGATAGCCATTGGTCATAGCTGTAACCCACATTGTACCCATGTGGGCGTTGCTCTATAAAGCTCTCCTAAAAAGTAGGGTCCCCTCGGTCAGCCCATTTTTGCCCCTGCTACTGCTCAGGAGCCAAATCTCTCCCTCTCAACTTTCTACTCTTTTTTTAAAATTTTGTTTGAAAGAGAAAAAAGCAAAACAAAATTTCAAAGCAAGGCAATAGGAAGGTAATAATGATTAATACATTGTATACTGTTATCTTTAAATTATTTACTCAGAGTTCAAGATATCAGTACTTGGGGCTGGGGAGATGGCTCAGTAGAATAAGT